AAGAATTAGAACTTCATTTCATTCAAACTGATCATTCAACGGTGCGCTCCTATAGAGAGGTTTTAGTGAAGTTAGAAAAAAAAGCTACAATCGAAAACCAATGTGAAGATGAACCAAGTGAGGAAGACATTTTGCCCATTAAAAGAAGACGAGTTAGGCGACTCATATCTGATAGCGAGGACGAGTGTTGAAAGATTACATAATTTTACAAAAGTCTTTCTTGCTTTTGTTGGAAAACAGTTTTTTAGTTTAGTTTTTGTTTCATTTTTTTTTATCATTTCCTTATATGAACTCTTCAATTCAATAAAAATAATTTATAATTTATTGGTCTCCATATAACGCGGTACGAATGATGTGATTTGTACTAATTCTGAGTTCCTTATAGCGCGGTTTCCATACAACGCGGTAGGCGGTTTCCATAGAATGCGCTACGAATTAGCCTGGTTTGTACGATTAAATCCGAGTTTCTTATAGCGCGGTTTCCATATAACGCGGTACGCACTCACCGCATTATAGGAGGGTTGACAGTATTGCCCTGCACGTAGTTTAAGGCTTCAAGAACTGCTCAAGCTTCTGCTGTGAAGATGGATGCGGCTTTTGGGAGAGGGATTTTTTAGATCGTGCTATTGCAGACGACGGCAGCTCCTACTGCTTGGTGGTCATTTTTTGATGCATCAGTGTGTATCCTTTGGTGGTTTGGGAATTTGTTACATAGTCGCTGAAAATTAAATCTATGTTCAATACTAGTAACTTGACCTTTGGGGAATAGTGCGAGGTCGGTGTTGGTATCTGGAATTTTTTGGGTCCAGGGAGCTGGTTTCCTATGTTTACGTAGGATGATCGGGGTCGATGTGATATCAGCAAGACTCTCGTATTTGGCAATTTTTCCATAGAATGAATTTGGAGACTTAGGTTTTTTGGTTTGTAGGTGTGTATATCTATTAGTAAATATGTTGTTGTAGGTAGGATTATTTGGAGTGAACGCGGTACTCTCAGAACGCGGTTTCCATATAACGCGGAGCTGAAATTGCGACAGCCCTCCTATAACGCGGTACTCTTACAGCGCGGTTTCCGTTCAACAACGTCCCATCAGTTCTTTCCGTGCATCCAATGTATGGTTTTAACTGGATATGTTTATATAAACATTCAAGCTTATCTCTTAGCCGTTTACGGCATCGGTTTCAGTCGTCTCAGAGGTCTTTCACAGTACGTCTCGTTGGTGACCAATTCTTTCTAAAATTTTATCTGCACCGTCCATTCGTTTAGCTTTTTGCTGCTTAATTTGTGGTTTATAATTGCACAACATTACACAATACTGTAAGTAATATTCTTCATTTGTTCTAATATAATAATAATAAAGTAATTATTAACCCTAGATTTGCATCATGTCAAACACAAAAGAAACAAGGAAAGGATTAAAAAGAAAGTTTATATCGCTTGAAGATAAAATCCAAATTTTAAATCGTTTAAATGGCGGGGAAAAAATATCGTCTGTTGCAAAATCAACAAATTTGAATGAATCTACAATTCGAACCTTAAAGAAAAATGCAGATAATATAAGGAAAACGAATGGGTGCCAAATCTCGATTTACAAGATGTGAAAAAAGGGCTAAATTTGGCTAAAGAATTAGAACTTCATTTCATTCAAACTGATCATTCAACGGTGCGCTCCTATAGAGAGGTTTTAGTGAAGTTAGAAAAAAAAGCTACAATCGAAAACCAATGTGAAGATGAACCAAGTGAGGAAGACATTTTGCCCATTAAAAGAAGACGAGTTAGGCGACTCATATCTGATAGCGAGGACGAGTGTTGAAAGATTACATAATTTTACAAAAGTCTTTCTTGTTTTTGTTGGAAAACAGTTTTTTAGTTTAGTTTTTGTTTCATTTTTTTTTATCATTTCCTTATATGAACTCTTCAATTCAATAAAAATAATTTATAATTTATTGGTCTCCATATAACGCGGTACGAATGATGTGATTTGTACTAATTCTGAGTTCCTTATAGCGCGGTTTCCATACAACGCGGTAGGCGGTTTCCATAGAATGCGCTACGAATTAGCCTGGTTTGTACGATTAAATCCGAGTTTCTTATAGCGCGGTTTCCATATAACGCGGTACGCACTCACCGCATTATAGGAGGGTTGACAGTATTGCCCTGCACGTAGTTTAAGGCTTCAAGAACTGCTCAAGCTTCTGCTGTGAAGATGGATGCGGCTTTTGGGAGAGGGATTTTTTAGATCGTGCTATTGCAGACGACGGCAGCTCCTACTGCTTGGTGGTCATTTTTTGATGCATCAGTGTGTATCCTTTGGTGGTTTGGGAATTTGTTACATAGTCGCTGAAAATTAAATCTATGTTCAATACTAGTAACTTGACCTTTGGGGAATAGTGCGAGGTCGGTGTTGGTATCTGGAATTTTTTGGGTCCAGGGAGCTGGTTTCCTATGTTTACGTAGGATGATCGGGGTCGATGTGATATCAGCAAGACTCTCGTATTTGGCAATTTTTCCATAGAATGAATTTGGAGACTTAGGTTTTTTGGTTTGTAGGTGTGTATACCTATTAGTGAATATGTTGTTGTAGGTAGGATTATTTGGAGTGGAGGAGATTTTAACTGCGTATTTTAGGCTTAGGTATTTCCTTCTTTGTTCTAGCGGTGGTTCTTTTGATTCTAATAGTATGCTATTTATGGGACTAGTTCTGTAACATCTCGTGGTTAATCTTAAAACGGCATTATGAATTGAGTCGATTGCTTTCAGGGTATTGGGTTTAGCTGAGTTATACACTACTGACCCGTAATCCAATTTAGATCGAATTAATGCCTGGTGGGTTTGTATAATAATTTCTTGGTCAGCTCCCCAGCTATTATTTGCTAAAGTTTTTATGATATTCATTTTTTTTGTACATACGGTTTTTAGATATTTAATGTGTGGTCCCCAGGTTAGCTTGTGGTCAAAGTTGAGTCCGAGTATCCTAATGCTGTCTACCTTTTCAATTTCAGTGTTTTGCATATAGAGATTTTTTTGCGTTCTTGCGTTGTCTGAAAAAGATTATGTATTTCGTTTTTTCGGGAGAAATTTGAGTCCCGATATTTCGGGCCATAATAGAATGTCGTTTATGCTTTCCTGTAGGAGCTGCATGATAGTGTTTAGGTTTTTCCCGCTACACGTTAGAGTTAAATCGTCTGCGAACAAAAATCCTTAAATTGACGGCTTGATGTTGTTTAAGATGTTGATTACTATTAGGAAAAGCGTAATACAGTGTTCATTCTATATACGCAAAAATGTCCTTTCCGATATAAGCAAAAATGTTATCCCCACCACTGGGGGGAAGACCCCTCGAGACGTCCTAGGTTCGTTCGCCGGGAAATGTAACGTGATCCGGGCCTTAGTGAATCCTTGAGACAATATCAATGCAAATATAAAACTTTTTTATTTTTGACTTTTTCGTTATCAAATTTTTTTACGAAACATTTATCAACATATTTGTAACATTCTTCTGATAAAAACGAGTCTAATTATGATATAATTTGGACTATATTTACTGGTTTAATTGACGATAAAAGTTTCTAACGCAGAGGAGAATAGCGAGTGAAGAAGACAGAGATAGTGCGGTCGTGGCAGTCGGCAAAGATCAAAAGTCTGTTCGATTGTTTGCAATACTTGAGCATTGCTAATTTTTTTATATAACTTTTTCCATCACATTCGTGACGTTTTCCTGACTAAAATGAGACCAAACACGACGTAATTTGAGTTTTATTTACTTGCAATATCTTATTAGAGTAAAGTCATCGATGTACGCGTAACACTTGAAATTATAAGTAAATATGTCCCGAAGTATATCGTGTCTGGTCACATTTTAATGAGAAAAATGTTATAAATATGATGGAAAAAATTTCAAAAAATAAATAAAAAATAAAAAAATTTTATTCTTGCATTAGGAGTGTCCTTCTAGAAGGTCACTGTTTGTTTACGTTCGATCTCCTTCGCTCGAAATGTAGCACCTTTACGATATACGCAAACGGCGACCGTGTTATTTTTCTCTTCTGTCCTTTTCTACGTTCGGCAAAATATCAATCAATGTAGGACCTGTACGATATACGTAAAACCTCAGACCCGAAAGATTTGCGTATATAGAATGAACACTGTACTTACTGATTACCGATTCTTGTGGTACTCCCTTATGTACGATGGTTGGTTTGAACAGGGCTCCATTCGTTCTCACCTAGATGGTTCTGTTTGTGAAGAAGTTTTTAATGAAAGCTAAAATATTACCGTTTAATCGTGTCTTCATAAGGGCGTTGATGATTGTAAGAACAGAATTTTAATGCTTGCTCTTTCTCACAATAACAGCGTCTCTTTCTTTCTCATTCGTTATTCTCTTCTGCATTAGAAACATTCATCAATTAAACCAGTAAATATAGTCCAAATTATATCATAATTAGACTCGTTTTTATCAGAAGAATGTTACAAATATGTTGATAAATGTTTCGTAAAAAAAAATTCAAAAGTAAAAGTTTTACATTTACATTACTATTGTTTTGCGAATATACAGGAACTATGTTCACGTTACACTTTTCGATGAGTGGGCTTCTGGCGTATCGAGGGGTCTTCCTCCCTGTGTTGATAACTTTTTTACACATATTGTATAAGTCATTTTCGCAGATATAAAATCTTTACTGTATGAACTCTTAATATGTCTGAATAATTTGTCAGATCCGATATAAGACTGTTGTTATGCAAGTTACAATTAAGTAAATATAATTATGAAATAAAATATCTAGAATGATAATTCCGATGCACTACCAAAAATCCTCAAATTCAACTTCACGTGCTTCTAATTGACGCAAAATGCATGTTTTTAACCACCAAGTCGAGAGAAGTAAAAGGAACCGCAGCGATGGTATCAACACACCACACACTTAAGATACACTTCAACTTCAGAATCAACGGAATTTAAGAGAAAAAAAAACACTCATTAACATATCACGCACCCAAGGGATGCAGCAACTTCTGACAATGAGTCAAATAGAAAAAATCGAAACACGTACACGAGTATCCTACTCAACTCGGAATTTCTACATTAGATCTTTAAAATAAAACAATGATTAAAATAGATTTATATTGTAATAACATAAAATATAATTATATCAATGTATCGTAATCAAAGCTTGAAAAACGAGGAAAATATTTCGAAATTCAGTTTCATCATTACAAGCAAATAAGAAGAAAAGAAGACTAAAGAAAGAAACAATAGATGTCGAAGTCCATCAATCCGATCAATCTAAACAATTAGCAAGGAAACAAGAACTAGCAATTATAGGGGAGAAAATTGAAGAAATAGGAGAAAACACGATAAAACCTACACAAGTATTTCAAGAACTTCTTCGAATAGATTCCTCTTCCGAACCAAGAAAAGAATTAATTCAAAAAACTAAAAATAAGAAGTAATTACTATCAAGTGATACCTTAACAACCTCTATAACATCCGTTAAAATTAATAATGTAAAAAGAACATTTAGTTCACTTAAATCAGGAAAAGACAACATAATTGATATTCAACCAGTAGAAGCAGATATTGTAGAAATAAAAAATCATTCCTGAAGAGGAGATTAGTAGTAATTTTATTACAATTGGACAAAAACGAAAACCTTTATGAGGAATAGATGGAAGAGTTAACAAACAGGGAAAAATTTAGGTACTCGAATTTCATATACTAGAAAATGTTTTATTAATTACAAAGGGAACCGCATCATTATAGGTTTAATTATACCGTTAAAAAGAATCTCACAACAAATATTAAAAAGTATTTACCATAAAAGGGAAACAAAAACTAACATTCCAGGTAAGAAGAATTTAAAAAAGATTCTTCAGTTAGACTTTGCTTAACCAACCACAAACATCATTTTTTGTAAAGAAGACATTCAACTTTTACTATTCGAGGAACAAAAATTGCGATTAAAAGAAGTCAGGTAAACCCTGTAGAAGACCATAAAGATATTACGAAAATTTAATACTGTATTATAAAATAATTTTAAGAAAAAAAATACAGCGACTTCGAAATGCACTAAAAAGTATAAAATAATTTCTATTTCATTCAATCATACAATTACGTCATAGATATGAATAAAACCTATTTACTCGTTAGGTAGTATATTAAATACATTTCAACCTTTTCGGAGGCGGCGCAGAATTAAAAGATTTTCTTGAACATGTCAACCTTTGGACAGCCGAAGATAGGCAAAGCATATATAGCTATTTTTTTTTCTATACATATAACTCGACAGCACGCCGCGAAGTAGGTGTTAGTGCGTATAGAATGTAACTATGGTCTATCAAGATTCATAGAGTATGCGACGGAAAGACTCGATCGCCGCATATACTATAAAGATAGAGTCAATCTGCCGCAAATTTGGTAATTCCCGCGTCGTGGGCTCTGTTTATAGGTTCTTATATCCATGGCTTCCTCATGCGAACGAAGTCAATTCAATTTCATTTCTATCAGAAACGTTGCGAAATGAAGATGCAGTCGTTACATTTACGTATATTACCAGATATATCTATAATGGTTCGTATTCTTTCTCAGGATTTATTAATTTCCAATACGCCATACCACAATCAACTGGTTATTGGCAGCAACGTTTATTGAGGTATTTTTAATTTTGCGTCGCCTCCGAAAAGGTTGAAATATATTTAATATACTACCTAACGAGTAAATAGGTTTTATTCATATCT